AGCGTTGACAGAGAGGAGAAGGTAGAAATGACTCAGCCTGTAACTGAAAATATAGATGGAGGACAACAGAGCTGCTTCATGGAAGAAGAACCTCAGCTTAGCCTGTTAGCCTTTGTGCTAGTGCCGACATTATATTGCCTTATATGTATTAGCTCGGTGTTAGCGCGACAAACAAACTAAACTGAGGTCCTCCATCCATATTTTCAGTTGCAGCTGAGTCATTTTTGTGTTCCCCTCTCTGTCATGTGGATGGAGGACCTCAGTGACGAGAGGAGAATATGTAGCGCTGAGCTATAACATATACTGTATATGGGGATAGCGTCTGGGCTAACGCTAAAGCTAACAGGCTAAGCTGAGGTTCTTCTTCCATGAAGCAGCTCTGTTGTCCTCCATCTATATTTTCAGTTACAGGCTGAGTTATTTCTACCTTCTCCTCTCTGTCAACACTCTCTGGTTTCATTTAAAAGAGCCGATCATCAGATATTGTCCAAGATTAACCTTCAGGGTGGATATAGCTCGCTAGCAGCCTCGCACCGGTGACCTACCCATGTCATCATTTACCCAGAATTCTTTACATGTAAATAAAATGGTCCATGTAATATATTTTTAAACTTTTAGTTTAAAAATGATAAAAACTGAACAGCCTACAGTATTTTTACAGTCTTTATTTTACAGTTAAAATATATGTTTATCAAATAAAGTCTAATGTTTCAACTAATCATGGATCCCTTTAAATATTATCGTGACAACCGTGCTGAAGGTATTGTCCTAGGACCTTGTAAGGATGATTTAATCAAAAGGCAACCATCTCAAAATAAAGAGAGGATGTCAAAATTGGTAAGGAATTACCTTGACAAAGTTCTAAATTATGGTAATTCTGCATCTGGCTGGAATTCAAGTTGTTCAAGAGTTGTTTCCCAGGAGGTCTAAATGTGATGGATGAAGGTAGATGGTTACACATGACGGACGGTTAGACCTGCTGCACAGAACACCCTCCTACAAAAATACTGGTTTCTTTGTTTTCAGAGGGGTGATCATTAGTTGAAAAGAGTGTCGAGGGGCCGTCTTGGCTTCTTGCTGAGTCATGACTGCTTATTTACTCCCCACCTCCAGTATTTGATGGGGAAAGTACTGCGTGTTCTTCGAAACCTTGAAAAAAAGAAAGTACATTCAAGTCAATGTTTTGACCTCATTGCTGTGACATAACTTGAGTTATTTTCTATTCTGGTTTTGACAAGTGCTACACAAAAATTATTTCTTTTAAATTTTTGTGTTTGGAAAACAATAAGCACCATTAAAAATAATAAATCAAGTGTATTTTTTTCATGTTAACGCTGCTTACAAAATGCTTCAGATTAACCGATTTTACCTATTCAGCAAAAAAAGTCAAGTGAGAAAGTTTCTGCGACAAAAAGTGAGGTTTTAAATGAATAACGTCATCAGATGATGACTTTCAGCTGATTATCTAACAGTAAACTTTTAAGGGGAGTCTGATTTTGCCTGTCACTGTTTTTTTCCCCTCTTTCAAATAGTGCCTGTCCTAATTGGAGCCTCTACTGACCTCTGCTGGCAGAGTAGCAAAACTACACGTTTCAAATCCAGCTCCAGCCTAAGCTGCTGTTTGCATGTGAAAGTGAAGCCCGAGCCCCCCATCCTTCCAGTTATTGTTTTGAAATCCAGTCATTGAGAGGGAGGGAGGAAGGGGGGAGCCCAAGGTCTGATTTATTCAGCTGCCTCCCCCCACGGTGAATGTTTGTGTGCTCTTTGGAACGAGGACATGTGCTGCTCCGTCTGTGCTCTAATGAAGAACACATTGGATTTCTGACACTGTAAACCATTGTGATATAAATCCAGAGAGGGATAGAGTTGGCCATTTCGTCCTGTCTGCGTTTTATGAGGTGGAGTTGTGCTTAAAGTTGGCAACGGCCAAGCCAAATAGGCTTGAAGAGCGTTGGCAGCAGTGAGGAGCTCTATCAGCTCCTGGGTTGGATGGGCGCTGGGCTCAGGATCGTAGGTGTCCTGATCCGGTATGTGCTGCCGCCTTGTCCTGAAAACTGTTGGGAGGYGTGGATGAGTGTATGTGTACTGCTGCAGTCTGCGGGGAAGGTCCTCATTGAGGTTAACTCAGCGAGTGGTCCTTATATAAACCACCACATGCCGTCCTCTTTGAATAAAATGTACAATTTCTACATGCTTATCTTGGACATCAACATTTTCTTTGTCTCCCCGTCTCTGCGTGTAACTCATTCAGGACAAACTGAGTCACTCAACTGGCTAATCAAATTTAGCGTGCCTCTTGTTCTTTGTTATTGATAAAAACACATTCCAGCCAAAGCTCGTGAACATCCCCCTCTTTCACCGTCTCCAGATGTGTAAATGCTCCCTTCAAAGTGACGAAAGGATTTGCATTTTGAGTTTCAGTAATGTTGCAAATTAAAGCAAGTCACTTGTATAATTTAACTTTTTTTAAACCTATCTATCAAAGTATACTACTTTATAACATGATTTCTAAACCATTAAAACAATTGAAATGGTAAATTATCCCTCAGGGATACAAGCATTTAAAAGAAACTTGGGTATTTTCTTGTTTGTTTTGCATTGCCTGGGAAAGAACAACACGGTGTTGCATAACTTCATTTGAGCAGAACATTTAATTTATCATGTGAAATCAGAGTCACTTTCTGTTCTGTTCTGTGTTTTTTCCTGTTTTCTGTTGCTTGTTTGTTTTTAAAGAGGAGATATTAAGGATGTGAGTGTGAACGAGCCAAACAATCTTATCCTTTAAGATTGTGTCACAAACAGAATGTAGAGCTTTTTTTTTCTCCCCCTCACTCCATTTAGTTTCACTTGAGGTTGTTGGAGAGAGAGAGAGAGAGAAAACTTGCAACAACTATATGAAAGAATCTGGTTGCTAAAACAGTGTCAGTAACAACAAACAGGCCTGACAGCAGTGCTCTGCCTGAACCTGCTAAGCTTTTATTTTAATTAGCAGTGGGCATTTGAATAAGTCGTATCTTTTTGGCACACGGTGGCTGTGAATGGTAACTTGTTAAAAAAAAAAAAAGAAGCGCTGGAGAGGAGAGCTCCCTCTGAGAGGGGGGAGGAGTCTCCCTCTGAGAGGGGGGAGGAGTCTCCCTCTGAGAGGGGGGAGGAGTCTCAGCTCCGCCTCTTTGTTTCTCCCCCATGTGATCCATCCAGCTGGTTTTAAAGCAACTCTCGGCTCCTGTTCGAGCTCCAGACGGCTGTGTTTTGTTTTGTTTTTATAGCTAAGCGGACTGGTTTATATCGGCTCCGTTTTACTAACAGAAGAGAGTAAAGATGCGCTGCAGGATGAGCTACAGTCTGCCCTGCTCTCCGCTGGCGTCACCGCCGCATTCAGGCCGGTTAGTGCCCTACAGAGCCAGATGCGCCAGGTAACAAAACGCGCATTTTTTTTCCTTTTTAACACGCTGTGAATGTTGTGCTGAACTCCTTCTCTCTTTTCGTCTAAACGAGTTTAAATTAAAGAGTTTCCCCAACTCTTTAAACGAGCGCGTTCCAGTTAAAGTTGCGCACGTTTAGCTCTCAATCGGCGCATGTTTTGTTGCTTTGTGCGCACATTTTAAAAGCAGCAGCAGCAACAGCTGGACGCTTTTGCTCACGCTAGTTTATTTACCGCTGCATCTGTTTGCTTRGTGTTTACATTGTGTGGTCACCCTTGGTTCCCGGAGCTGTACGTGCGCTGCAGCACGCGGGATGGATGSAAATGTATTTCTGGCACACATACAGGAGACATGCGCAAAATAGCACCCAAAACTAAAATAAGACCGTTTTTAAAGAGTTTGATCAAACTGCATTACGCTCAGATGATGATGATGATAAARGTTTCAACACTGAAGAAATAGTGTTTTTTTTTTTTTGCTGGTATTCGTATAAATGTTACATTTGAAATATAGATGTGCATTCAAATTTCTGAAATCTTTTTTTTACATCTTTAATTGGTACGTTTGTTTGTATTTTTGATTGTTTTTAGTGATTAGTTTCTTTTGTTCCCCTGCTTTGATTAAGGTTGAAGCACAAACCTTAAAAATCCAGTCCCTCTTACTTATAATCTGAATTATGATTGTGCAGGTTAATCTGGAAGAATAGGATCTCATCTGATCAAGAGATCAGTTTTGTGGTGAAAGAAGAAAAGGTGTTTGAAAGTAGCAAAACTTTTCTTGCTTTCTTTAAGGTGAGAGACGGGGTGTTGTTTATAAAGTGATTTGTGACGGTTGATTGCATCATCATGTCTTAATAACGGTAACAAAGAAAGCCTTAGATTAGACAGATTACACTGGCTACAGTGGGATCACAACTTCAGACTGAAGCTTTTCTGTCGGCGTGAAACAAGCTTCAGGTGGAGTCGAGCCTTCAAGCAGACCGGGCTGGTACATGGAGTCTTTTAAGTGCTTTTATTTTTTTTAAATCTGCGTTTATTCTGTGCTGCTCAAAGTTTATCCCAACCTTTTGCTTTTAATCCAAAGCTGATGCTGCAAATTCACATTCAGTGTGTGTTTAAAGTTCTGTACAGTTGTCTCTGTAGAGCTATAAAACAAAAGCAGATTTAGGATCCGTAAAACTGAACATGATACCTTTTTATAGGCTGAATCTGTAGGACGTCTGAGCTGTAAATGTGTGTTTGAGCTGCTGCTTGGTGTTCCTCCCCACCTCCGTCTCTGGTTATTTTTACTGTCCTCTCTGCCGTTGCTGTCAGATAAATGTGAAGTAGCTCCAAAGGGTGTCAGTTTCTTACAACCATCAGCTCGGTCGGTCCTGCGCAGAAAAGGTGCTCATGATTTTATTCTCTTGTCACAGTTTGCAAAAGCCTCGAGGCGCACACGCTTTACCTCAGAAGCTGTTGTGAAAGTTCTCGTGCAATCTGTTGTCCTGTGTTTAGTTAATGTGAAAGAGCTGATATCAGTCTGAAGCTTTGATATGTGCCAGATGGGTTGCTCACCTCTTGCTCTCTCTGTTTGCAGTGCGTCAGGTGCCAGCGTTGTTGCCATCGATAACAAGATTGAGCAAGCCATGGTGAGTTTTCTACAGAGCTGTGGTCAGGAGGCACATATTTTCTGCCAGCCTCAACAATCTTGTTTTGTTTTTTTTATAATAGTTTTGTTGTTCACTTCGTGTGCTAATTATATATATTTTTTCTTTTCTCTCTGTCTCTCTCTTTCTTGCAGGACTTGGTGAAGAGCCACCTGATGTACGCGGTTCGCGAGGAGGTGGACGTGCTGATGGAGCAGATCAAAGAGCTGTACGAGAGGAACTCTGCGCTGGAGCGCGAGAACGCCGTGCTGAAGTCGCTGGCCAACACGGAGCAGCTCAGCCAGCTGTCCAGCCAGCTCGGCAGCGCATCGGCGCCGCTGCAGCTGCACCAGTGCTCGCTGGTGAAGAGCACGACCCCCCCTCTGGGTCACCACGACGCGAGCCAGAGCGTCCCCTATCAGCCGAACATCACCTCGGCGTGAACCCCTTTTCTCCTTTTTTAAACTCGCACCTCCCACGGACAGGAGAGGAAGGTGCGGTTAATGCCAACACGCTCCCACCGTCTCCCCAAACACACACCCCCCACCCGCATCATACAGCATCACAGGGCCATCGCAATGCTAAGACGTTTACCAGCCATTAATGTCTTATCCTGGTCCCGTGTTTGGCTGCGTTAAGGGGGCAAAAAGGGGGGCGGGGGGAGGAGAAGAGGAGCCGCTGACTGTTCGTGTGCAGGAGAGACGGCGTTCACCAGCACAACCGGCTCGATTCGTCGGGACAAACCGTGGCGGGAAGGCAGTGTTAAAACCTTTTTAAAGGACAGTCATGGTGACGTAGGTCCTGTAAAAAACACCCAGGTGGACCGTCCTCCCGTGTGTCCACATTCCCCCCCACATCACTCCAGGGCTGGAGGAGGCCAGAGGAAGAAGTGGGACGGACGAGGAGGAGGAGGAAGAAGGGGGGTGGGGCACAAGTGGAGCGAGTCGAGAGTTTCGGCTTGTTTTAAATGCTGCATCGCAGGCTTGTGTTGTTTTCTTTGATATGAATCTGAGTAAATTCTCATTAGTTCAGTTTTAAGTATTTTCACTTATTTATTTCAGGGCTGCTATTTTCATAGTGTAAATGAACAATGCCATGGAGTTGCATATTCAAAGCAAAGGAAAAAAAATAACGCTTTCTTTTGTTTTTTTTTTCTTGGGTATTTTTAACAAATTGTCAGGTATAAATTTGATATATATACATATATATTTTTTGGCACCATATAGATCTCAAAACGTAGGCAATAAGTTCCGTGGTAGAACTAGTGCTAACACTAAAGCTGAGCTTTCATTCAGTGAATTCCAGGTTGAATGTATATTTTGTAAAGTATTAAGAGCGTGGCGGGTTTGTACGTGAAATATGTGACGGGATGTTTCAATAAAGAAAATTATTTTACTTTTTCTAGGCTTACTTTGTCAAAAATAGAAATGAATTCTGGGGGAAGGGATGAAAAGCTGTGAAAAGTCTTCAACCTACTTTATAACCAAAGACTAAAAAAAAAGATGATTTTTTTTTTAAATGCACATGTTTTCTACTCCCCTGTATGTTTTGTTTGGCATGTTCTGCATGATTAATCAGACCACTGTCTTACCTCATGATTGTTACCCATTGTTTTATTTGATTTCTTTGTCAGGCTGTGAATGGTTGATGGAGGATTGTGAGCAGGTGGGGCGGAGGAAGTGTTAGAGATGTAAAGAAAAGAAAGGAGGGAACAGAAACGTGTTTACTGTAGTTTGAGATTGAGGGAGGAGCTGTGTGCGTAAAAGAAAAGGAAAAAGAGCCATTGTTGTTCTCATATGAATGCTGGTTAATCTGATCTATTAAACATTTCACATATTCCTGCTGCAGCCCAGTCGATTGTGTCTGAGCATATTATGGGATGTCCTGTCTGTGTCCTGTCTCGAGGCCTGCAGTTGGAAGGTGATTTGGTTTCTTTCTCTGGTTTAGAACCAAACCAAACTGCTTATAAATTGTACAATCAAACATTTTTTTTTTGTTTTGTCTTTCTTCCATTTGAAGGAGAAGCCGCGTACATGCCAAATGTACTGTATGAAAGTGATCACTGAGCCTTGGAGAAAATAAACTAATGCCCTTGTAATGTGCTGTTCAGACGATTTTAGTTCTCTGTCCGAAAATAAATAACCTTTTCATTATCAGAACGTTGTCAGCTGTTCTTATTGCTATATATGTATTCATTTTTTAAAAGTGTCAAGTTTTAGCCCTTTTTTTTGCTATAAATGTCACAACGGAAAACATGAGTGTAGCTAAAAGTTTATCATAGGTCACAAACACAACCATTAAAACAAACTGCAGGTAACAAAAAAAGAGAAAATGGGGAAAAAAAAACTCCCATTTTCAGAATAAAAGTCAAGTGGCATTCAAAAGGTGCCACATACTCTGTTCATCAGGTGATTTTTTTGTGAAATCTAATAGAAAGAATTACCACTAAAAAGGAAATTACATCTGRCATGATAGAATTACAGCTTTTTTTCTTTTTCTTTTTAGAATTTGTGATGAAAAAGCCTATTTCCCAAAAGTTACCGTTTCTTTTACAGTATGTTCGAGCTTTTCTGACAGGTYTTTAAGCAGAACAAAGCAGTTCAGTTTAGGATCATGGCTTCAAAGATAAAAGACTGAATGAATTTTCAGGAAGGAGATTTAGTCTCCTCTAATCACCTTAAAACACATCATTGTAACATGGTTATTCTAGATGACATTAATCAGCCCAAAGTACTATTTTCAGGAACCTTGGGGTTATTTTTCGACCAGGACATATTCTCTGAACACTTGGGTTCCTGATCTTAAGGCTTACTGTATTTTCTGTAACCAGTTTCTGTTTTATAGAAGGAGGATATTTTACCTTTAAAACTACAGAAGTAAAACTGAAATTCTTTTTAACCTCATGTTGCCACTCAGGACATTTTATATATTTTTATTTATTTTTTTTACTGTCTATTTTTAGATTTCCTGGAGATTTTGTTATTATTGTCCACTGGAAGCATGAACTAAGATGCAAAATTAGGCCTCAAGCCAGGATCCCAAAAGTCAAGGAAGTTGAATCTCAGCCAAATTCTCCAGAAATGTTTTCCATAACGCTCCAGAGAATCTGGCAATTGGAAGGAGTTCAGTCTTTTTCCACGAAGGAAGTGTTTTGTTWTTTTTTTTTCCTCCACAGAAGGGAAGTGAGCTCAACCTGCTCTTTGTGAAAGAAACAAGACACCTGAGCACGCAGAGGTGACATCATCCCCAGTCTTCTGTCAGCAAACATATCAACTTGTACATTAATCACAGCACAGCTAGACTTTTATAGGGTTGGTTAACAACACAAACTGGATGAGCTATAAAGTTATATAAGAGCATCCTTCCATCAGCCCCAAGCTGACAGCTTCTGACAGCTGACTGAATGATGAACAATTAGAACCACTTTGTACATTTTTATCATTTGTGTGATTTTTGATTCAGCATTCACACTATTGTTTCTACTTTCTATTTTTTTTCATTCAGTTTGTTATAAAATATTCATACAGCAAAACATTTAGGACAGGAGGCGCCCCAGAGAACACAGGYGTCACCCTTTGTCTTGGCCGCTCAGAGGTTGTGAAATTATCCATTTATTACAAAATAACCAAAACAAGTCCACTGCAATAATTAAAACTTAAGTGTCCTTACTCCTCTTACAAACAAAAGTTATTCACTTTATTCTTTCATTTTGATAAAGGAATAAAGGTTTAATGCGTTATTGGTATTGGTGGGATGTTGCATTTTGTTTTGAAGGAACAGGAAGTGACTTTAAATGAAGCAACTGTTWAAAAAATCTTTAGAAAACCTGCTGTGCTTGAAGGAGAACAAATTGGGAACCACTGATTGAGGATATGGTGCTATGTCTTTAAAACTCATAATTTTCCAAATATTTTGTTTACAAAAACCTTCCTCGTTGAAATACATTGAGTACTTCAGTTCCTTAGAAAACATCGCTCTCTTTAAAATCCCCTTTAGCAAGTTAACGTTTTTGTTGAACTTAAGCTGATGTTTTGCCATTTTAGCTAGCATTTTGGCTTTTAGCCAGCCTTAAGCTCATGTATTTTTTATTTAGTCTTCCATCATTAGCTTTTAACTAATATTTTGTTGCACTCATCAAGGATTTTTATACTTTGAGATTTTAGCACACTTTTAGCTACTTTAGCTTTTAGCTAGACATTTGCTACTTGAGGTTTCAGTTAAATTTTTGTTACTATTTTAGCTAACTTCTTATTGCTTTTAACTAACATTTTGCTGTTTTTGCTTCCGGCTGCTACCTTAGCTTTCTAGTGTTTTGCCAATTTTAATTTTTTAGCCAGACTTTTGCTGCTTTTAGCTAGCATTTTGCTTTTTATAGCTAGTTTTTTTTTTGCTCCTTTATAGCAATTGTTTTTCTTCTTTTAGGTTTACCAACTCATTTTCAGCTATTCTAGTAGATTTCAGTAAACTCTTTCAGCACTCATCATTTGTATTTATTTTTTCTTGTTAATCTAGTAAGATGTTTGCCAATAGAGATGAATAAAGCGTTAATAATAAAGTGATTATCTCCATGTTCTGAGTGCATGTTGTTATGGTCTTTGACACGTGTGTTATCTGCTCTGAATCAACCTCTGACCGTCAGGTTTAGTTTTTAGTAAACACGTCTCATCCATTCTGTCCTGGAGGCTGGAAACATGTCAGAGCTAGTGTTCATCCTTTACTGTATGCACATGTTGCGTTAACGTGCACATAAACAGAAGTGTGAGTATATACAGCAGGTAAAATAAGTATTGAACACGTCAACATTTTTCTCAGTAAACATATTACTAGAGGTGCTAATGAT